TAGAAATTTATCAACAGCGGTCTTTCTTCCCCGTTAAATTTGCGCGCGAATAAGATATGAGTTCACACAAAGACGGCTGCCGCAGATCTGGTCATCAGACTCTAATGTTTTAAACATTCTAAAACTCAATAACACGTAGAGCTAATTCAGTAAATCCGACACGATCCAGTTTTCAGGTTAGTGCCGTATAACCATTTTGTTCTCAAATTTGTAAACATGGCGCCCAAATTAAGCGTTTTTTACTAGCGGCTAAATCGAGGAATGCACATTTGCCTGACGCCATCTTGAATTCATTATTAACTCGGGACATCGGTACATGGTTATCTTATGACAATAACGAATTAGTCCCCGAGCCGACGGCGCAAAGCGCCGTGCGAGGGTACTAATTCCCCCCGGCTATTTACACCCGGGGAAACGAAACCATTAGCGAAGTCTAAAGTTCATCAAATATCGCGGGCGTGGCTCACCAACGATGTTTCGGTGGGTGGTCATCCTCACTGATTTCAAAAATATGGCGGACTTTCATGAATAGCGGACACTGATTGGTCCAATTTAAAGTTTCCAATTTTTGCATTATAACGACTGCATGACGACAGCGAAATAGCAAACATTTCTTGATTTGATGATTGATAAATTTCTTGCAAATATATTTCATTTTTGCTCGCATTTTTGCAAGATTTTATAAATTTCAAAAGCTCTCTCAGAAAGAAACTGCGAAAGAATCGGCTAAAAGAAGAGAGCCGACGTTAACGAAGGTAACTTTTTTTTTAATATTGATTTTATAATGAACCTGAACTTTCAAACCCGACGGCCTTTGCGTATGTGAAACAACTAAACAAGACAGCATATAATTTCAGTGTATCCTTAATATTGATTCCATTTTTTATGATATTGAATTTTTTAAATAAAAAAGAAAGCAAAGTTATTTGCAAGCGAGAATTTGAAATCATTTTATTGCAAACTCAAAGTTTATCGATAAAGCCATTTTGAAAAGGCAGATTAGGGAAAGTACATTTATTATGCCGAGGGAGAGGGGATGAAGATGTTAAGGGGGGGGGGGACTCCGAAATATTTTCTGGCATTAAAGGGGGGGGGCTCTGAAAGTTCTTGATATACTGAAGGGGGGGGGGCTCTAAACTTTTCAAAGTTTTGACCCCAGCAAATTCAAGTTAAAATTTTGACATTTTCAGGTAAAATTTGCGTAATAAAGTAATTATTTTTGTGAAATGATAACCATTTTTGTAAAATACAGTCAATTTACATGCAATTTGTTTGCGAAATTTGCTTTAGAAAACGCCAGAAATTCAGTCCTAGAGCTTCAAGAATGTAAAAATTTTCTGGGGGAGGACCCCCACACCCCCCTTTTCTCCCAAAACTTAGTATGAGAGTGCCAATCAATCACAAAAAGCTTTATTATAATTATTACACGTATAATCCTACGACATTACACGTATAATCCTACGTCAGATGCTTTGCTACGTCCCTGATGGTTGTATTCGAAACCGATTTTCAGTTCTAAGTTATCCTTAGTCTGCTCTACTAAATGGATACATGAAATCACCTATAGCTTATTTTAAATTTTTTGGCGCTAGGTTTGTGAAGTAACTTACCAGCCAAAAAGTAGCAGTTCCAAAAACAAAAAAGCATTTGTATGTTTATGGGATATTTAGTACAAACGGGATGAAAATTAAAGAAATTGAAGCATACTGGCACTTTTGCATGCATTTTTGACAGGCATGCAAAGACATTTGCAACAGATGCCAGGAGATACGTTGGGTGGGGG